GCGTCGCCAGAAAGATGTTCACCTTTTTGGGGCGGAGGGCCGGCTCGCGGCAGAAGCCGTACTCGTCGAACGCGAAACCCGCGGCGCAGGTGTCGCAGCACTCCGCGAAGGTGCAGGCGGACGCCCGCGCCGCGAAGCAGCGGCCCGGGTACGTCGGGAGGACCTCCCGGGACGCGACCGCGCCGGCGGCGAGCGTGAAGTTGTCGTTGGGCGCGCCGTAGCAGCGCGTCAGTTGGACGCCGGGGCCGACCTTGCCGTGGACGTCGAGGCAGCCGCCGAAATTGCCCTCGTTGTTCGCGCAGCGCGGCGCCGTGATCGCGCCGCCGGCTTCGTCGACGGCGAAGTGCTGGCAGTCGCGGACCGTCGCGTTGGTCCAGCTGTCGCCGTTGGCGGCGTAGCACTCGCGGAGCTCCACGCCCTTGTGGTTCGGATTCCAGGAAAGGCAGAGCCCGCCACGCGTGATCGTGCGCAGGCCCTCGGCGTCGGCAGCCCCGAACGCCCAGCCTTGCTGCGCAGCGTCGCTCGCGTCGCAGGGCAAGGCCTCGACCTTGACGATGTTCGTCGAGCACCCCTTGCAGGACATGTCGCATTCCTCGGCCATCACGGAACCGAGGAGGAGCAAGACCAACTTCGGGATCGCCATCGTGAGCTTCTGAGGAACCCAGCTTCACGTTGGCGAAGTTGGACTGATTATTGAAGGGGAGGGAGGCCCGCGACGATCGGGAAGAACTCGCATCGGTGTGTTATGTGGGCGAGGCTCGCCGGACGGCGAGCTGTCGGTGGGGGGGACGGGGACGCGCGGGTCCGCGCGCGGGGTCGCTATGCGCAAGGTGGCGCGCCGGGCCTCAGGAGAAGGCGAGCGCGCGGAGGCCGCGGTCGATGCGCGCGGCGCGCGTGGGGTCGAGGGGCGGCATCTTGCCCTCCTCGACGGCGTCGTCGACGTTCGCCTTGAGCTCGCGCGCCTCCTGCATCGCCGCGGGCCCGCCCTTGGACGTCTTGAGCAGCGATTCGAGCTTCGTGAGGTCGTCGGCGGCGGACCGCGCGGACGTGCGCGCGCGCTCGGCGACGCGGTCCGCGTGCGCGCGGGCCACGGCGGGCTCGGGGCAGGCGACGCAGCACGCCGGGTACGTCGTCGTCCGCCGCGTCTCCAACAGCTTGGGCACCATGGGCCGGTCGCCGAGGGAGCCCGCCGAGTCCGCGCGCGCGCGCGGCCGCTTCCGGAGCAGGTCCGGCGTGAGCTCCTCGCCCTGGCGCGCCAGCAGCCACTGCACCGCCGCGTCGGCCGTCTGAGCCTCGCGCGCGCCCGTCGCCGCGAGCGCGAAGCGCGCGCGCTGCTCGTCGAAGCCCATCTCGAGC